TCAGAGGCAAACCTCGAATATTGGCGCGATTTGACATTGCTACAAAACATGTCGATTCCATTTCGAGGTTTCTTACTCCCATGTCGTATAATTTACTGAGGAATGCTGTCTTCTGTTCTGCTGTGTATTCGCAAAATGCTCCGTCCATTCTCGCTTGCCCTAAATTGGAAAAATTTGTAGTTTCAAGAAACACTGCCCAAATCAAAATGATGCAATCATACACCAGCAACGCAACGACAAATTTCCAAGACGAAGAACGTCGTATTTCATTAAGGTGGTCGGCTGGAAAATGGCGAATCAAGAAAGAACCTTCATAAAAGTCGTCCGCACAAAAAGTTTTTCCAACTTCAGCAGCTAATTTCAACTCTTCAGCAACACGATGTAATTGCTTTCTCACCGCTGCATCAAGAACAGCTGGTCTTAAGATCTACAAAAATCATGCAATTCAATGACAAAATTCAATGCTTCTTTTTTGCCTGAATCTAGTTAGTGAGGGAAACGCTATAAATTCAAACAAGCCTTTTTGCCCATGATCCACTGCGTATAGCCTTCCAGTAGTTCACCATTGAGGCATCCACTTGAAATGAGCAATGTGCCGGGCTGTACGCCTAGGCCACCGGAAGTGCCCATTCTAATCGCAACCACATCGCGAGCTTTCGCATAGTGCAACAGTTTGATCAGTTCCACGAGCACAATGCTTAGTGATGGCACGCCGATGCCGTGCTGCAAGTATTACGCTTTTACAATATCACCTTTATTTTCTCTTTATTTTTGTCATTTTACAGTCTCATAAGAAACCGTGGTACTAATTTTTGGGGGAAATCGCTAAGCTTTGAAGTTGATCAAAATTCATACTTTAGTACAGGCCCATTCCGTAAGGTGATTAAAAACTGCAGACATTTGCAGTAACTGTATGCCTTCAATGAGTAACTTCAAAATTGCGGGCAAATTAAATAAACATTTAATGTTATCGGAGATTTAATACTGTAACAATAGATAACTGACAAGAAACTAACATTAACCCAAAGCACTTGACCTGTTTTGTACATCACATATCGATCGCTTTTGCTCAGATTGCCGGACAATTGCAGGCCAGTATCCTTAGCAAACAATTCGGCGTACATCCTCATCCGTTTTCCGCTTCCGCCCATGCATACAAACTGCAGCAGCTCAGGTTACTTACGCAGAAACATTCAATGAAATTAGCGTGTGGCAAACTAATGACCCCCGTCGGTATTTTGCACGCAACAGAAACCACCATGTTCATTTGGTGTAGCTTGGCACTGTGTTCGACAACGCTCTTGTAGCACCAGAACTGGCGGTACGCGCGTCAGTTTTATCAATCGCACTCAAACAGGAAAATACTAGTATCATGAAAAAATTCCGTTTTTAAAAACGGCTACGGAATCGAACCAATCTCTTTCACATCTGGTCGCTACGTGCTAAGCTATTACAATACTGGCCTCCTTGTGCTCCATGCATTTTGATGGAGCACCTATATTCTCCATACGTGACACTCCCATGCACATTCTGTATCCTCCCTCCCCTCCCCTTCCTCGCGCCTGATCCGCCTATGCCCTCCACCTTGCCTGTTTTTAAACTGTTGGATATAGCAGTTGTGGAAAGATGGATTAAAAAGTACCACAGAGTTGTGCATGCACATCTCATGCACCTACAGCAATTTACGAATGAAGCCTGACCTTGAGCCATCGTGCCTTTCGAGCGTAACCTTATTAGCTTTTCCAATAAAAATGGGAAGTTATGCGTGCACGTCTTTTACATTATTCTTCATTGGCGTGTAGCACCTACCTCAGAGGTTCCATATGCTTCTACGATTTTCAAA